CGAAAAAGAGGGAATTTTCTCAACAATTCGTTTGTCATATCCGCTATTTTTAGTAACGAAGAGAATTTCCTCATTATTGTCATCACGGGTTTCTATATGAAAACTATTTTGACGGATATCTCTATAACTTAACAAGGTACGCTTTGAATCGGGATACAATAATGCATCCTCAATTGTAATTTGGGTACCCATGGGGAGTACAATAGTGGCATGACCAGAACCAACTATCATAGCATCGCGTCCGGCGATTGTCAAAACATTTCCTTGTCTTTTTGTAAGAGTTTCGAAATACTTTGTTTCTCTAAGTATAGAATTAGTGGTACCACTGTCCACTAGGCATAATTCCTCCTCCATCAGATTGACCCCCGTAGAAACTATATATAAATAAAGATTTTGATATGAAACTCTTTGATGATATATAGAATACATACGTTATTTATTGAATATCAAATGTTTACATTATATTTATTGGATATTCAAACCAAATAGTGATGACATTATTATATATTTACAACACATAGGACATAAATTATTTTAACTATTATAATCATTAGGACATAAAGACACTAGAATCTAAGGGATTGGGAGCCTATTCAAAGTCTCCATATATGTTGTTGATGCATATTCCACGATCATATTCCCCGTATCAATAAGATTCTCGCCTCCTCATATGTTGTTGCTGCTTGGTTCTATTGGAACTTGTTGCGAACAACCAGCCTCATTCCTGGTGGTGTCAGGTCGAATGTTGAAGTGGGCTTCATACTTCTGTCCTGGTGCAGCACGTCCGCGACCCACAGACTTTAAGTAGAGATCAACGAGATGACTTGGGATATGACATTTCTTTGTAATATGGCTATAACAACCACACTTCTGACACACAGGTTTGTCATTCCTGTTTTTGAAAATGTTCTTACCCTTGTTGGAAACACGAATTTGGGATTTCTTATTGCGTCTGCGTTGTTTTTTATCTTTCTTGGAATTTCCCTGAGGATGGGTCTTAGAAAGTCCACCATCAAATTTGGATTTATTCTGAGTGTAAGCATGTACTTCAGGCAATGGAGCAGACCCTACGGGGCGCTGCTGATTATTCCAAACTATAAGTTCAGAATGTTTTTCGGCCTCAAGTAAAGTTTGTATAAACTCAGAATAAATCTGGAAACGTCTTTCACGGTATTGTTGATGAAGAATCCTTTCAGAGGGAAGCATAGTAGACAGAGTCTTTTCTATTTTATCCGCATCTGTAGGTTCTTTCTCGCAGAATTGCAACTTTGAGGAAATCCTATGAACAGCATGGTCGTAATAACAAGGATATTATTTATTGGATTTGCCATACATACAGGGACAAATACTTTGAATAATATCATAAATGGATATTTTATAATGATAAAATATCACAAGTACAACTATAGTTAAAGTCAGTGACTAAACACAAGAGTATTTAATTTTACAGCACATAATTATAAGAGACTAACATAATCATTGACGAATTAATGCTGAAAATAAATAAAAAGAAGAAAAAGGAGCCAGCCAGGCCATTGAAATGGGATTGAACCCATTTTTTATTTTCGGCCCAGCTTGGCCCATTCGGGCAGGCACAGGGAGTGGAGGGAGGCCAGGGCACCGGCCTTGGGCCGGCCCATCCCGCGCGCGCAGCAGCCCCATAAAAGGGGGTCCGGTCAGCAGTTAGGGTTGAAACCCTAACCGCTCGCCGCCGCTGCCGATTTCGGAGGCCACCGTCGCCGTCGCAAACCACCTCGCCGCTCCTGTCCACTGCGCCGCCCATGCTCGCCATCTTCAGATCGAGGACTCCCCCTCGTTGGGGGAGTAGAAGCCGCTGCCGAGCACCTCCGCCGACGGGAGGCCGAGCACGGCCGGGTTCCAAGTGCCCCGGCGGATCCCCGGGCGTCTGAAAGTGAATGAAAATGAACAAGATTTGGGAACAACTCAACTGCTTTCATTGATCTCTTAGATATATATACAAAGTGAAGAGGTGTGTCCGTACGGACACAACTGTTAGTGTCCAAAGGACATGTCCCTTTGGTGACAATGGTTAACTTAACTGCCTCTATCAATGGATTGCCTCTATCAATGGATGAGATCATCCCTGTGAAACAATGTCGTTTGGATAGATGTGTCCCTTCGGCCAGGGGGTGCCGTTTCACAACAGACACCATACCCGAACAGGATGCCGCATTTCAAAAACCGCTCGGACACCTAGGCAGCGCCTTAATAACTTTGAAATCAGTATTGTCAAATCAGCTGGTTCCAAAGTTTTGTCCACCTTGGTCTCAGTAAACCAAAATAGCCTTTGTTCGGGGGAAGGTGTATTCAAGATAATATCTCCTCTCTCTTTTTAGAAAAAGGGTAAAGAACTCAGTTACAAGAACCATGGGTTGCCAGCGCACATTGCACAGGTTACTCACAGAGCAGAGAACACTATGCAAACCACTTCAGCGTAACACAAAAAACTACAAAAAACACTAGGTCTTGCTTGGTCATTGTTATCATTACTCCTAAAAACTTCCAGCCATCTCCGGGGTTTTTTTTTTATGATAATTCTTCAAGGTGAAGCTTGTCAGAAGCGGTCCGCAAAGTCCCCCATCTCTGCAGACAGAGAATTTTTGGATAAAACGTCAGTTGAATCCTTGGGAAATACTTTTTCAATCTACATTTTGTTTCTTTTTTTTTAAAAAAAACTGAAACCTTGAAACCTGAAGCCAAACAAACAAGAGAACAAGGCCAACAAGAAGGTGGCCAACCCCAAAAACACACTCACGCAAGAGAAAGAAGAAAACAAGAGAGAAAGAAAAGAAAACCTAGCTACTGGATAGAACAAAAAAAAAACTACCAAAACCTAAAGACTGCTAAGCCAGACCAAAATGCTTTGATGAAGCTCCTTCCAAATTCTGAACAAGTGTAACAAGATTTCCCATTTGTGAGCAGCTTTCCAGGAGCTCAAACTAGTAGCAGTGCCCTCGAAGATGAAAGCGCTCCTCTCATTCCAGATGCACCAAGCAGACTCCATGTGTTATCTCCCAGAATCCCCAAGTAAACGAAAAATAAAAAGAGTGAGGACATATGTGTTATCTCCAGAATTAACCAATCCTCGGCATGTCATCCCAAATCAGTGGAAAGATATCCAAAACTCCAGCACAACTGTGAAATGTTTACATAGACAAAAGGAACCTCATGTTTTCCTCAAACTGGACATTTCCAAGGTGTTTGATTCAGTGTCCTGGGCATTTATGCTGAAAGTCTTGATCAAATTGGGTTTTGGACGACACTGGCGCAACCTCCTTAGCACATGCATGTAAATGGGGATACAGGAAAAGGAGATTATTCACCAGCGTGGCCTCCGTCAGGGCAATCCACTCTCTCCAATGATCTTTATTTTTCTAATGGACAAGAGAACAAGAGGGTTTCTTTGGAAGGGTCAAGAACAGGATAATGGTGGCAATTGTTTGGTTTCATGGCAAAGGGTTCAAAGACCTACCCAGTACGGCAGGCTGGGAATCCATGATCTGTCTCTCATGTGCTGGGTGATGCGTATCGGATGACTGGCAAGAAGAAAAAAACAGACCCAACCAAACCATGCACAGGTTTTCAGATTCAGGTTCACCAAGATGAGATTTTTGAAAGGGACCCAAACTCAGTTGGTCGCCGCTCCTTAGTAGCATCCCAGCAACCTGGGTTGGATGCCCCACGGGATGAATTTTGGGGCTGGGCTGCAAAAATTCCCCCTTGCTTGCAACCCAAAATTTGGGTCTGCACTGTCAGGGGTTCAGAGGGTTTCTCGGTTAAGTGAAGGCTGAGTTCCTCTTAATGAAATGCCATGGGGATGATCTTCCCCGACCAACCGAGTTTTTGTTATAAAACGCGCTTTTATTTGCCATGGCCATGACCAAAAAAAATGTGGGTAATGGTTCCAATATCAAATTCTGGTTTGATCAATGGATACAAGGAAAGACTATGGCTGAGATTGCACCTAATCTTCTTGCAATGATCCCTCAAATAATTATCAACAAGAGAACAGTGCAGGGAACCTTGGACATCTGGTGTTGGGTGGGCGATATTAAAGGACCTCTCTCTGTCACTGTCCTGGTGGAATATCTCCACTTATGGGAAATTTCAGAAAACATTCACCTTCAACCAGATGTTCAGGATTGGCGTATCTGGAAGCTTACTAGCTCTGGTACCTACTCTAGCAAATCTGCCTATAATGAATTCTTTTTTGGGACGATTAGGTTCACTCCATGGAAGAGGATTTGGCAGTCTTGGGCCCCTTAAGGTGCAAGATTTTCATTTGGTTTGAGGTCCTTAATTGCTGTTGGACGTCTGAGAGGCTATCAAAGCTGGAACTACCACACCCGGCAGCACATCCACTTTGTGATAAGCCCCAGAAACCATTAACTATATGCTGATTTCATGTGTGGTCACAACTCGCAAGGGCAGTGTGGTTCACTGTTTTTCAGAAATTTGGTTTGCATACTCTCTCACCACAACAGGATGTTAATTTCTTCTCAGGATGGTGAAATGAGGGGTTCGGACAAGGAGCACCACAACACTTTGATCATTTTCAGTTGCTTGGGAAATTTGGAAACACTGTAACAACCGCATTTTTAACAATGTTCAGATAAGGTACTCTTTCTTAATGAAAATAACAGACACCTCTCCAGCGCTGTTCGAGGAAAAATACACATGGGATACGCTTCTGATAAAACATCAAAGAAAGCAATATTAATGATCATTCATGGATCATTACATCATACTAGTGGGACACTTTAACAGATTATAGCACATAAGGTCACATGGTTTATGCAGTCAAAATGAAAAGAAAGCATCTGCATAAGTATTGTTTGCACTTGTTGGCAGTAGTGCTTGTATGGCAATAAGGTTTAGACAATGCCAGCTCACCTGGCATCTCATTTTGTATCCCAGTCCTTCAGCTTCTTACTTCCCTTTGGTTTAGCAATAGGCGCATTCATGCCAGCCATTTTGCATTATACTTTGATTTTCATGAGAGGCCCATTTGTTGACCATCTGAAAAAATCATTAAGAAATTATTAGTCCAGACTCAGTACAGATTTTTTCCTGTTATAAAAGACCAACATACAGCAAATGTTCAAGCAATTCAATTGATAGATATGTACTAAGCTTTGAGGTATTGACGAATTAGCAGATCAAAGAACTGCAGTCAAATTCTGTCTCAAAAGCTACAATAGTTATGTCAGGGGCCTCCATTGGACTTCCTAATTAAAAGCATCCAAAATAATTAGGTTTCAGCCCATCAAAATTTCACTAGGAAATTAGAAATGAAAGCACTTGCAAGAATACTAAACAAGCCAACTGAATAATATCACGAGAGTAAATAACGATGCAACAGACATATGTACTTACGGTGCATTCCAATCTGTAGTGTCCTCATTAACAAGATGTGTCCATTTTGTTCTGCCACTGCGCCCGAAATGTTTAACTTGCATGACCTTGGGCAGGATGCTCTTATCCATCTTATCTTCACCAGTGGGTTCAGAGAAATCACGGCTGTAGATATCATCTTTACCAGCTGACTGGATAACATCATCAGCACCTTCCTGGAAGAAAGCACCTTTGTGGTAATACTTCTGCATGAAATTCCACTTCTGTTTAGTTGTCTGGCCAAAGTGGCTTCGGATTCTTCCGCTCCCATTCCCGACGCTCCTCCTCGGTCATATTCCTGACCTTCTCGATCTCCTCCTTCTCCTTCAACCTCGCATCCCTTTCCTCTCTGTCCCTCTTAATTCTTGCTATTTCTCTGTTTTTCCATGCCTCATACTCCTCTGCTTCATTCAACTCGTCGTCTGTATCGACATCCTCAATGTTGGCCTCTTCATTCAGCGCCTTCTCAATGTGCTGCTCCTTTCTAATCTCTTCAACCACAATCTGTCTAGTCTCAATCTTCCTAGCCTCTAGCCTCTTCTTGACCAGCTCCTCGAGCTGCCGCCCTCCTCCTCCAGCCGTTCACGCTCCACAATGGTGTCTCTCTGTGACTTTGGTATGAACACAGGCTTCACCATGGCCATGCCCATCTGCTCATCCTCAGAGTCCGTCTCATACTCCGACTCCTCCTCAGACTCCTCATCCTCCACCGGTTCCTCCTCTTCCTGAGGAAGCAGCTCTTCCTGCTCCCTCAACAGCTGCCTCTCCCTTATCCTCCTCCTCCTCTCCTCCTGTGCCTCCTCATCCTCCTCATCGACGTCAGCCTCCTGCCTCTCGTTCTCCTCCTCCGCGGTCGACACAATCTCCGCCTGCCGTGTCGCGCGCGTGATCTGCCCTCAGCTCCTCCTTGTTCTCCGCGCGAGTCTCCGCGAGACGGCGAAGCCGTCGGTCATCCTTCGCGGGGACATCGCCGTCGTCGTCCTTGGGGAACGCCTTGTCGACCCGTGTCGTCCTGAGATCGATGTCCTCATCGGCGTCGTCAGCCCACTCAGGCGGCTTTCCCGGCCAGTACCGTTTGACCTTGGTCTGGCCAATCTTTCCACGGAGCTTGTCGCGCACCGCGATGGCCGCGTCGCTCACGCCGGCCGCCACGGACATGGCTGCAGTTGCTCACCGATTCCCCACTCCTGCGTTCTGGTCGACCTGCAAAGTACACAAATCGTGATGTGAGACAAGAGCTGGGGTGGATCCACAATAGCACTTGGGTATATGTATATGCGTGTATTTGGGTCAGATTCGAATTCGAATAGAAATAGCTTACTAAGGGTTTGGCATGCTCCGTTTCGGACAGCGGAAAGGGAAAGTAAGGAACGGCGAGGAAAGGGGAAGGGAAGGGCGTACCTGGTGGATGCTCGCCGCCGGCGAAGACCTGGGAACGGGTCGCGCCGCCTCGCCGAGCCGTCGCCGCCAGGAAAGAAGAAGGGCACGAGGGAGAAGAAGGCCACGGGAGACTTTTTCTTTTCTTTTCTTTTGTTTAATAAGTCGGTGGACGGGGGAAAGAAGAGCCAAACTAAGCCCAACTGGAGCGGGCCCAAGTTTATGGACCGTCCGAAACTTTGCACAAAATATAACAGCCCAACTGGCCAGCCCACGAAAACACTGTGCATTACACGTTTTAGGGGTGAATGGAGGAGAGAGAAAAATAGAGCGAAGATCAAAACTTAAGCCGAATCAATTTAATCAAGGTTTATAGACTCAAAAAAATTAATCAATGTTTGCTTACATAGATTCTGTTTTTCTCACTTGTACAGGAGCATAGTTAGGGCCTTCATTGAATATGCTTAGTAATACGCTTGCGCTAAACATCAAGAAGCCATTTTAGAGGTTGCTCCTTATAGGAGATTAGAATCAGTAGAACAGTGGATAGTAGGCGTTAGGCGGATTATATATAGAAATAATAAAAAGGGTTGTCTTGGAGTATAAGATAAGTTAGGGTCGTATGGAAATAAACCTAACTATATCGTCGGTTCTGTTAAAACAATCATATATTTGTGGATACTCTAACGCTATTGCATGTTTAACTGAAATTTATGATTTTAAAACCAGATCTCGGTTCATGCTACACGGTTTCTTGGCCTGTCTCTCGTATTTAATTTGTATCTAAATCCAAGGGTTTCATAAGAATGTTTTGGTTAGTAACGGGTTAATAAGCCATCTCAATGGTACTATCTTGGGAGAGTTTTTGTTGTAGTGGGTTGGGTTCTAGAAGAAATTAGGCAAAGTAATCAAAGAAGCCAATAAAAAACTATTAGGTGGACACGTAAGATGATGGAATGGCAAAAACAACTAGCATTATACAGATGATTTGCATTGTTAATGAAAGATAGTAACATTCAGTGGAAGACAAGGCCGGTGTACCACTGGAGTGGGCCGGGTGGGCTCGAGCTCTGGCTACTGCTACTCGAAACATGGATCCATCCACCCAAAAAATAGTAGTCAAAGATATGATATTGTAAGACCGTACAAAATCAACGATGACAAATATACTTGACCGAATAGCGTCCAAGTTTATTAGCTACAAACCAAGCATTTGCCACATCACTACTAAAAAAAATTACCTTTACCGCATTTTTTCCCCAAACTTTAAACTCTTGTGGTCGAAATCAAACACTACCCACACTTGCCACAATGAACCAAATTAATTTAGGTGTGCCAAGTAGTGTAACCAAACGCTTTAAACACCCCCATAAAGTTTTGGCACGCGCCCAAGGACTAAAATCTCCTGGAAACTGATGATCTATTCTAGCGGACCGGGAGGACCGAGGAGACCAAGCAAGAAGCTGCCAGATCGAGTGACGAGCGGTTGTGATGTCAACTCCGGTGTCTGCGTCTGCATGCATTGCACGGCCGCCGCTGGAGCAGGAACGATGGTCGCCGTCGGCATCGTTCCGCTTGCAGTCAGCGACCAGAGCACAGCGCGTACATTCGCAATCGATCGAGTTGTTTGCTTGTACACACGCTTAATTTGTGGTCCAGGTTAGCTGTGCCATGTGATATGTGTACAGCCACCTTCCAGTCGATCGATCTGCTGCACGCTTTGTCGTGAACACACATGCATAGTACAATGCAACTACTTTCTCTTTGTAGCTAGGTAAGCTTTCGAATAGACTGCCTCAACCCTCAGTCTAGAAACAATATAATTCTAGAATAATGCTCAGTTAAACTATCTTAAGTTTGATTAATTAAGTTCATATAAAAAATGTTAATGCTTATCATACACTAAAGAAATATCATGTCACGAAATATATTTCCATAATACATATCTATGTAAGGTCTTAAAAATTGATACCGTTTTCCATAAACTTGGTTAGACTTAAGTTAGTTTGACTTTTACCAAACTTAGAATTGCACATTTCTAGGGCGAAGGTACACTACTGGAAACTCGAATACTCGTGTGGGTGATAAATTTTTCTGTGTGTTTTTTTTCGATACTCACAGAAAAATTAGTAATTAAAATGTGGGTCCAAAAAAAACGACAGAAAAATACGAAAGCCACAAAATAATTGCATGATTTTTCTGTGTGTGCCAATACACACAGAAAAATTATAATTATTCTATGGGTTTCTACAAAACGCACAGAAAAAAGTAAACACACACAGAAAAATAGAACAAACGCCCTCATACTAACTTTACATGAACAAGCGCATTTTTTCTTTTTAATCTCTCTCTAAAATTTATAACTAGTCTTTCACCCTCGTACTAACTCCAAATTTGATGTTTTTCCCTAAAATTTTCTAAAATCATGCTCTATCAATTTATTGTGTTCTTACGGCTATTATCTTGGTCATGTTTTCAGGTGACTTTGTTTTATCAATTCAAAATTTGAATTTCCAAAAATGACAACTTCAAACAACATTTTAAAACAGTAAATGATTTCAGCTGAAAAAGTCATTAACATAAAAGTTGTTGAACCCATCAAGATCTATAACTTTTATTTTGGTCATTGCTTCATCCGATAAAGTGGTAGTAAAATTGTTCATAAATTGACATATATGTCGTATAGTTTCATAACCTATGTGAGAGATTTATGAATTTGTGAACAATGTATACTACCACTTTGTTGGATGAAGAAATAATCAAAATAAAAGTTGTAGATATCGAAGAGTTGTACAACTTTGTTGTTGATGACTTTTTCAGCTGGAATCGTTTGCTATTTCAAAATATTGTTTGAAGTTGTTATTTTTTCAAATTCAAAATTTTAATTATTCAAACAAAGTCCAATGAAGTAATGACCAAAATAAAAGTTGTAGATCTTAATGAGTTTTACAAATTTGTGGTTTATGACTTTTTCATTTGAAGTCGTTTGCTATCCAAAAATTCTATCATAGTTCTCATATTTTGAAATAATATTTATAAAAAAATATTGACCTGGCCTTATTTAGCTCAGCCCTCCATCTCCCCCTGCCTGGGTCTGTTTGGCCCACTCGTCCGTGTAGCTCTCTTGACCGTCTGATTAGATCGGACGGCTCACATCACACCCTTAGCTGGTCAAAACCTGGGTCGTCCCGGCTTCCTAAACCCTAGCTTCTTTCTTCATCCCTCCTCCGACTCCTCCACTTCTCCCGTTCCACACATAGCAGCGGCGCCTGGTGAGCCCCCTCGCACGTCGGGAGGGCCGACAGATGTCTGTAGTTCTGCTACTATTTGCCGTAAAAAAACAGTTTGCCACACATCTTCTGAATATGTTTTTCAGCAATATGGCATAGGCAGTAGCATTCAGTGATTTATGTTCACACGTAGATGTTGATTGCATAGATTCAGTTTCTGTAGAGCAATTTGCCATGTACTGATAACCTTAGATGGGTGGTGCAATAAAAAAATGACAGTAGTTTAATTATAAATACATGAAATGCCATCGCTTGGACTTTTAGTTGCTACAATTAAGTGGGTTGTGTAATCACTGGAAGGTTATAAAAAAACTACAGGCAATCAGCGCAAGGCAGCAGGATCAAAGGCTCCCTGGCTCTTCCAATGGTTCAGGAAGTTGAAGGCGCTTATTTGCTTTCTTTGTAAGTGCCTTCCATATTCTCTTACTAGTACTTCTGCAGCTAAAGCTTAGCAGCAGGGCATCAAATTGTTCTTAGGTGCTACAGGTAATTTACACAAAAGGCAACACCACTAGTTAATCTAGTTCTAATGTTCTATGTTTGATGTATCTCATTTATAAGAGTCAAGTTTCAATCGAGTCTAACATCTCATAGCAAATTTGTGAATATGTTAATAATGGAACAAATTTGACCAGCATGTGTACCACTGATAGCTTGTGATTTTGGTAAATTCAAATTTGCTATGAGATGTTACGTGGTATTTTTTTTAGTTTACCTGAGAGCTTTCTAGCTTACTAGTTTGCTTTTTTTTTTACTAACTTCCTCCACCAATCCTGCACTGCAGCATCCTATCGATCATCTGTCCAACTTCCCAAGTCTCAAGGACAAAGGTACATTATTTCCCTGAATTTTGCCTAGTAATATTGCACTTGCAGATTTGTATGTATGGTAGGTGTTAGAACTTAGAACTTGAGATACTCAATACTTATCTCTAGATTCTTTTTATGCCCAGACAGTGCTATGCTAGAATTATTTTGCTCTTATTTTGCTGGTTATTTTAATAGAACATTTAGCAACAGATCGTCCATTGCCAATCTCGATGTTGTGGTGTAGTGACCTTTCTATCTTATTTTTTACTATGATGAATAAAAATTGGGATGCGACATGGTGAAAGTAAGTCACTGCAGTACTATTTTACCTCCGTAGAAATTGTTTGTGTGAGGTATTACTGTTTGTACAACACCTGATCTAACTATCAGATATCAATGACATACCCAATGATGGGCAGGGTGATATTGGTGATGGCCAAGACATTTTGGTGAGGGTGCACTCTGAGTGGCTCACAGGTGACATTTTGGGATCAGCAAGATGTGATTGTGGTGACCAGCTTGCAAACATTGGTGTATGCTACTTATAATATTATAAGATCTGATGTGTTCTAATGCGACTACAGTATATGTTTGTGATGTGTCATGAAATCACTGTATGGACAATATATATTTTAATATGTTGTTGCTACCGTTTGACAATAATTTTTTTGTGCATTTATTT